CTGTTCTCTTTCTGTTCACAACTTTAACATATTAAGACAGGGCAGATAACTCAATCATATCCACCACATTTTCAGTAAAATATATATTTCCATCATAGATCTAAATACAATATCTGAAAGTGTCGGTAGAACTTAGAAGTGTCCTTTTCTGTCATTTCAATCAGATTACCATAATAGTAACTACTGTAAAAAAAATAATCATTACCAAACGATTCAGCCGATGGAACTAATTTAGTGTTTGGTAGCAAGTTTGAGTTACAAAAGGGGCACTAAATGGAAAGAAGTTAAAAGTGGCGTATTTTAGCATTTTTAGCTTATAGATGTTGGCATGATGCTTGTACACTTGAGATATACCATTCATTTCTTTGGTGAGCAGAATTATGGTTGGTTTGCCTTCGTCGGAGAGCAGAGAAAAGATCCTGAGAACTCTTCTAGCTAAAGAAAATGTAGAAAACATTGATTTCATGGAGCTTGCTACAATGACCGAAGGATATAGTGGAAGTGATCTTAAGGTGTGTACTTAAAAACAGTCAAACGGAAAAATAGTGAAATTGGCATATTATCTATCATCTGCTACAACTAATAGTCTTGACTATTGATAACAGAATTTGTGTACAACAGCAGCTTATCGTCCTGTCAGAGAGCTAATACAACGTGAAATACAGAAGAATATTGTAGTGTTTTCATTCCTCTCTCTCTCTCTCTCTCTCTCTCTCTCTCTCTCTCTCTCTTCTTGTTAACTCTTAGCTGCATACTCTCTCTGTACAGAAAAAAATTACCCACTTTCCCTTTTCGGATGTCCCCAAAAATACTTCCCACTTTTTTTCCCTTTGTTATTAATGAACATGTGACACAATTTCTCCCTCATCGAAACAAATTCTAACCATACATTCTTCATTTTTTAATATTTATTAAACTCCGTGCAGTGAAAGTCAAATATAGCTTTTTGGGAAGAATGGAGTATATGATTTTATTATAGAAGCCTTCATTTATGTATTATATTTCTGCATTCATAGGAAAAAAAGCGCAAAGGCGAAGGCCAGAGCTCACAAGCTGCTTCAGATAAGGAGGGGATGCCCGAGAGAGTTATCAACTTGAGACCTTTGAACATGGAAGATATGAAGCAAGCAAAGAATCAGGTAACCTAACAAAATCTTTATTTTTTTTCTCTCAAAAAAAAAAAATCGAGTCAGTAATCCACAGACAAGCTGGTTTTGAACATATCGGAGTGTTTTTTTCTTTTCTTCAGGTTGCCGCTAGCTTTGCTGCGGAGGGATCCATAATGAGTGAGCTTAAGCAATGGAATGATTTGTACGGCGAAGGCGGTTCAAGAAAGAAGCAACAACTGTCTTACTTCCTTTAGGCTGTCAAGTACACACATCCTTTGTGGAGGGCAATATATATATCTGTGGTTTAATATAACACAACATATCCAGCATCTGAATTCTGGTTGGTGTTATGCAATATATATCCAATGGCCTGGCTCTTAACAATCTGGGGGTGACATGGATGAATTTGTATCGGTGTGTAGTTGCACCAGAAACAGTATATATAAACTTAACTTATGGTAGAAATGTAGGTTTCGAATTCGAATACTATTACGAAAAAAATATATGAGGACCCGAGGTGCAAGCGGATGTGTTCTCTCTTAAGACTTGAATATTGTAATATAAATTCATTATAATTATATCTATTTTTTTCTGTTTATATTACTCGTATCTCCCATTCGTATATTGCATTTGTTCATTTTTCTTTTAAATATCATGTAGTGGTTCTTCGTATATAGGGGTTAGTGCACGTGAAATGACGTAGACGAGGTTTATGAAGATGAACGAAGGCCCCGTTTGGTACAAGGAATTCAAATTATGGAATTGAATTGAGGACTTCAATTCCAATTCTGGTGTTTGGTAGCACAAATATTATGTGGATTTGGAATTGATAGTGCGAAAAATGAATTGAAATTGGTGAATTCAATTCTATGGAATTGAATCACATGGAATCCCAATTCCAATTCAATTCAAATTCCACCAATTTCGTATACCAAACGGACCCTAAGTATTTAGGAGTAGTTGTCTTTGGCTTCGTACATTGGGCGGGCGAGGACCAATGTAATGCACCAGCTTGATCGAAGTAGGCATGTGGGCGAGTTATTTGGGGAGTTTGTAACAATGAATGAGACTAATAAATCATCCACAACATCCACTGATAAATTATCCGGTTTTGTGCTAGAAACAGTGACTCTAGCGAACATTAACCAACCATGTTAATGGTGGCTAATAATCATCCACAAAATCATATCATTGAAGATATTCAATTAGGAGTAAACACCAGGCGAAGATCGGAGGAGCCCAAGTTTATATCAGATCCAATCAGATCAGATCAAATCAAATCCCGTCAAGAATTATTATTATTATTATTATTATTATTATTATTATTATTATTATTATTATTATTATTATTATTATTATTATTATTATTATTATTATTACTATTACTACTCCGTATTATTATTATTATTATTATTATTATTATTATTATTATTATTATTCTTCTTCTTCTTCTTCTTCTTCTTCTTCTTAAAAATGAAAAAGAATAAATTTTTGAAACAAGTTAAATAGAAAAATTGAGAAAGTAATACTTAATTATTAGATGTCGGAAAAATTATTTTTAAAATACATTGACAATGTCAATCTAATTCTAATTTTAAAATACATTTTTATTGCTACCTGTAATTTGAGTTTCTAAAGTTTTGATCTTTTATAAGGATGAGATATTTTAATAAAAAATACAATCTCTTCTCCATATTGATTATCTAAATTTAATTACTTTTTAATGTATATATAAATTAAATATTTATTCTAATGTATATATGAACTACTTGTAATTATTAAAATATTAAATCAATATTCTTATTTCACAAAAAATAATCATAAAATAAAAATATTGATTATATTATAATATTAATTATTACGGAGTATTACAATTTGCAAACGTTATTATAAAGTGAAATCAAATTATTGATTTGAATTTTAAATCAAATCATAATTAATCAGATCAGATCCAATCAGTTCATATTAGACCCAATCAGATCAGATCAGATCTAATCAGATCAGACCAGATCAGATCAGATCCAATCAGACCAGATCAGATCCAATCAGATCAGACCATATCAGATCAGAAAAAATAAGTTGAATGGAATGGAGCGTTAGTCCCCTGACAAACAGCCATTAAAACGGCGTTAAAACAATGTTTACCTTTATACTAATTCCTAAAAATGGTACTTTCTAACTGGGTGCTTTTTTGAATTGGTCTGTTTTTGAAATAAAAATACATTAATTATGAAAAAATATTTTAAATTCTATAGTTAGATATAATGCTTAAAATTTTAAATATAATTTTATAAATTTAAAAGTAAATATTTTTGAATATTATAATTATTTAGAAGAATAGCATGTAAATAAAATGTTTAACAATCGTTAAAAAAATCAACTTAAATAGAAGTAAAACATAAATGAAGTACTAAAACAGGAGCTCTTAGGATAATTTTTTCAACGTTTATTAAATATTTTCTTTACATGATATTCTTTTAAAAAATTGTAAATAATCTAAAACTTTACATTCAAATTTGTAAAATTATAACTATAGTTTTTTGCATTATATAATCATCCTATAAACTTTAAAATATTTTTCCATAATTAATATATTTTTATTTTAAAAATAGACCAATTTAAGAAAACACCTACTTAAAAAGTACCATTTTGGGAAAGTAGTATAGGATTTAACGTCTTTTTACGCTGTCTTAATGGCCGTTAGTCGGAGTGACTGAACTTGACATTATTCTCAATTGCAGAGTACCATTTCAGAAATTAGTTAGTTTTGACGACTAATTTGAGAAAACACATAGTTATTGAGCAGAAAGTTACTATGCGGTACTCTATATTTTATGGTAAGAACCAACAGGTCCCTTCTTTTTATAAAATATACTCCAAGGGTACCTAATTTTTCAAACAAATGTCCAAAGGGGGACATTCCATCCAAACTTCTGTTAGGTTAAGATGTTCCGTTAGTTTTTACTGGAAAAGCCATGGAATTCCCACTTTAGCCCTGCTTCCTTATATACCTTCAGAGCATCTTCATATTAACAATCTCAGAAAATGCACACGCATACAATTTAAGATTTTTTAATTTTTTTGTTGAATCTACTCCTTTAAAATTTGTAAACAATGTTGATTTTTTATTAACAAATTTTAATTTCTTAAAATAATAACTTAATCGTGCATTTTTTTATTTTTAAAAATAAAAAAAACATAAATGAATTCTATTAGTTAAAAATTATATAGCAAAGTAAATGCAAACGTACAAATAATTAAAATGAAGCATATATTCTATCCGTCTCAAATTAAATTACTTGTTTACAATTCACATGGTCAAATTTTTTATTCATTTTTTTCTCTATTTTCATTAGTTATTTCATAAAATAATATAATAATGTTACCACTACTTTTATAGATCTTTTGATGTAGTTTTTTAATATATATGGAGTAATTTTTGTTTTTTTAATTCAATGTCATTTTTTTATATTCAATAATTTGAATATAACTTTAGTCAAATATCATAAATCGAAACAGACAATTTAAATCGCGACGAAGGGAGTATAATTTAAACAAAGATCTAGATATATTAAAATTTTATAGAATAAAGTAAATGGTGAATACTTTAACCCCTTGGTTCCAATAACATTGGGAATGAACCAATGTCATCGGATGACCCGGGGTGCTCCGGTGCCCCGTTCGTAAAATTGATGATTTCTACCTCTTAACCCTCCCAATAAACCCCCCCACCCCGCCCCGACACGAACACACCCCCTCCCCTTCAATTGCACCCCCTAGTTAATATTGGGTTGGAGTCAAAATTTGACTCCAGAGTCAAAATTAACTTGGGGGTACGGTGTAATTGACGGGAGTGGGGGTGTGTTCGGGTCGGGCGGGGTGGGAGTTAGGGGTAGGAACCGTCAATTTTATGAATGGTGCATCGGAACACTTCCAGGTCATCCCAATGTCATGGGAACCAGCCCAACAAATGAAAATCAGCCCCATCTTCATCTTCCCCAACATGACCCAACTTCATTTGATTACTAGTATCAACATCCAATTGCTCATTTGTCGGTGACTCTTCGTCCATGGAGGCATCCTCACTGCTTGAGCAGTTTTCCTCATCAATATCAAACTCACTTACTTCATCATCATCTTCACTTTCTTCAAAGAACACATCTAGTGGCCTCTAGCCTCCTCACAATTTTGGGAACACATCTAGTTGCTTCATTGATGTCAGCCCAATGATATTTTAAAAAGGAATATGCACTGCAATCATGATTTTTCAAGCAAATTGTTTCATTAATTGGTTTCAAAAGGCCGAAATGCTCCCCGATTTAAAAATATACGTAGTATCAATTACAAAGAATAACAACGCTAGAATCGGGTCATTTAAACGCTAACACAGGGAAGTAATTCAGGGAAAGTGAGCGCATACCATTTTTTGAGCTTAAAGAAGGCAAACGACGACGTAGATACGGGTCGCCCGGATTGAGATCGGGAACCTGAGAAACGCAGCGTACTTTGGAGAAGATGCAGCGTAAAAAAATAACCCTTACTCAGAATTAGAGAGGGTATATCAGACATTTTGATATAACTTACGGGAGTTGGATGGAATGTCCCTCCTTGCACATTTGTTTGAAAATTTGGTATCCTAGGAGTATATTTTGAAAAATACTGGGAACTAGTAGTTCTTACTACAAAACTAGGGGTAACTACCAGTAATTTTTTGGTTATTGAGTATCATTTTGGAAATTTACTCAATACTCCGTATTATATTATACGCAGTAATATATTTTGTTTGTCCTAAAAAAAGATTCTTTATTTCCTTTCCAAGACGTCTAAAAAAAGTAAAATCATCCTAAATAAGATTAAAACATCGAAAAAGTATCAAAGTAGGACATCCATGTTTTTATTCCCGAAATAAGAGTTTACATTGTGGTAATGTGGCAATGTACACGTGTACATTATTATACGCTTTGGTAATGTACATGACCACGTTTGATAATGTAAATGTATTTTAACTCCTATTTCGGGAATAAAAACATGGAAGTCCTATTTTAGTATATTTTCAATATTTTACTCCTACTTTAGTCTTTTTTTTCCCGAAAAAGCTATCTCTTTCCTTTTTTGGAAAATTTTGATTGACGGACAATTTTTCTCTTCTGCATTGGTTTCTATAACATATTTTCACTTTTCTTTAAATTTTATCTCAAATCAAACTAAGAACTCCTTTTTGGGACATAGTCCGCAGTTATCACTTACAGAGTATATTACTCCCTCCATCCCGAAATTTTCTTCCCATTTTCCTTTTTAGTCCGTCCGGAAATATTCTTCTCATTTCCTTTTTTAGTATGCTTTTTAAGGCTAAATATCAATTATACCCTTCTATTTTATCACAAATCTATTTTTTTAATACTTTTTTAATAATAAAAGGATATTTAAAAGTTTATGGTAAATGCATTTTTGAAAATTTTGCATTTTTTTTACTATTCCTTAATAAGCGTGCCAAGTCAACACGGGAAGAAAATTTCCGGACGGAGGGAGTACTTTATTAGTCATAAAAAAGTTGCAGCCGCACATGTGTTTGGGAGAAAATAATTGGGGTTCGAGACTTCGAGAGAGAGAGACACAAATATTTACTGCGTAATAAGTTTACATATGGGGTCAAACTTGGTGTGGAAGGTGCGCTTATCCCAACGTGATCCTGTGTAGAATAAAAGTGTTTGAAAAGATACAAAATGACTTTCTGAAGTCATTCTCCTTTTTTTCAGTGTCTGATCGAGTTCGAATTCTGAGTTCCAGCACTTCGAATTTGGATTTCATCGGATGCGGATAAGTTTGTATTTAGGTTAAAAGCTACATTTCATAACCAAATATCATTGAGTTTGGATAGACACGAGTGTTCAGATTTATTTTTAAAATATTGAAATTCATACCATATTTCGATCACTTGCATTTTACATTATAAATAATAATAAATATCAAAATACATATATAAGACTTCTTAAAATATTTAGATTGTTAATTACTCTGTATTTTTAGATAGATTTTATATAATTATAAATAATATAAAAAAATTAAATATATACCACTGGTGAAAAACTTGTAAGATAATTATGTGATATCATTAAAAACTTGTTTGAAAATATTAGTTTATATCGTAAACTTGCCAAAGTAATGGTAGTCACAAATAACTTGGACACAAATTACATACGGAGTAATTTTCATTTGTGTATTTAAATATTTATTTTTTAATTATTTAAAATCATTTTATTCACATAAGAAAGTGTACAAATGACAAGTTTGTATAGTTTGTGTCTAAGTTGTTTGGAACTCTAGCATTACTTGGTTTGGGAACCTTGAAAATAAAATCAGGAAAATGAGTTAATTTTTTGAAATTATTTTTAGTTTTTTTTAAATTGTTTGGCTGAAAGTGTGAAAATTAGCTATTGATGTTTGTTTCATTCATCATCAGTGACGTTGATGTCTGTATTGCCCGGCTCGTAGCCTGCACAAGTTTTTCTATTACAAAATTCTTTCCTTTACTCTTTTTTACAAAAATTGAAAAACAAAAAACATAAACTAGTTTAGTTTAAAAGTAAAATATAAGAGAAACATAATTAAAATGTATTTCATTTAAAATAAAAATAATAGAATATAGTTACTATTTGGGCGAAAACTTAAGCGAGTCATAATCAAAATTTTATAAGTAATATTGGTATCATGGGATAGATCTTGTGAAAAGATTTCCAACAACATATAATTTGTCATGTAATCACTCACGTATAAAAATATGAATAAATAGATGCTCTCTAGCGATTTTTAAGAGATTTAAAATAAGTATATTTTGGTATTGACTTTGTAAAAATACCCCTTAATGTGATAGGTAAAAGTTGATGTGATGTGTAGATTAGTAGTGAAAAAATGCGATTAAGAATTAGTAGGGATAAAAGTAACTTTTTAATAGAAATGAAAATTTTTTTTTGAGACAGATGAGAAAAGAAAGAAGAAAGATTTTAAAGTCAACTTAACTAAAAATTAGTTTTAAAATAAAAAAATATATTTAAGCATTATGTCTAAAGTTTTACTCCCTCGTTTGAAATAAAGTTACTTATTTACTATTTATAGAGTCAAAGTTTATTTACTGTTTTTTCTATTTTCATTATCCATTTGATAAAATAATATAATTATGTCACTTGTTTCACCATAGAGCTTTGATGTACCAAGTAGTTTTTTAAATGTAAGTTTTAGTTTTAAATTCCACTCCAGTTATCACACAAATTGTATTGAAAATAATTTCAGTCAAACATTATAAATCAAAACATGTGATTTAAATTCGAACGAAAGGAGTACAAAATAAGAGGTGAGATGACTTTTATTTTACAAAATAATCAATAATAAACCACATAAATATACAAAAATTATTGAAAGACTCAAATAATATATAATAAATGTGTTTTTTGACATGGGCCCACTATAAGTGAACAAAAACCATATAAAATGAAATTGATTCAAATTCTCATTTCACTTAACAAATAAATGAATGCTTGCAGAACAAGTTAAATTCTACTCTCTCTGTCCCATTTTAAATTATCTATTTTTTTTTCTCCGTCCCAAAATAAATTGCCTATTTCTTGTTATCGTAAACTTCTAAGAGTAAAATACCTAAACTACCCCTAAAATAAGTCACTCTTCTCCATCTTATCTTCTCATTCATCGTCACTCCTAAAAAGTAATGGCAATTTCGAGAAATCAACTCTATTTTTTCTCTTCCTTAAATATGTCCCAAAATTAAAACGGGCGATTTAAAACGAGACGGAAAGAGTAGATAACTAGTCTCGATTTAGTCGTCCGTAACCGAATTCGAAGGCCGGACATCAATCGATAAAGCTCATCATCAATAGATAAACCTATTCACCAATCGATGATATTTTCATCAAATTCCATGTATGTATGTGTGTGTGTGTGTGTGTATATATATATATATATTGATGAACTTTTAACTAACACACTTTGAAATCTGGCATAGAGAGAGTACTGGCATAACATTTTTAAAAGTTCAGGGAACTTTGATGTGATTTTTAAAATTAAAGGTGAACTCGCACAATATTTAAATAATTTAAAAGGAAATGATGCAAAAAAGATTCAAAATTTAAATACACAAATGACTCCGTATAACTTATGAGTAAATTGTTCGTGATTCTTGGGAAAACCAAGCCTAATTTGTTACTCCGTAATTGTTATCCATACTCCCAATGATTAATAAGTAGGTAAGAATTTAGTTACGCACGCAGCAATCCGGCGAGCCAGCCGCGTTCAAATACGGGCGTAGTTATTATTAGGAGTATGAAAAATAAAAGCAACACAGACATAATAACGAGACACGTGGAGCAAGCCCCCGCGGCCGACCACTGAAATATACCCGCGGCGTTATTCAACGTTGTAGCTCACCCACCGCCTACGTACATCTGTTGCCATCTCATCTCCCCAATAAATGGAAACAAGAAAAAAAAAAACAGAAAAGAAGTCTTCATATTCCTTCTTCTTCTTCTTCTTCTTCTTCCTCAACAGAGAATAATAAGCAGACAGTTAAGAAGAATCCAAAATAAGAAAGAGCTTTGCAGTGGAACCTGATTTTTCTCTTTTCTTCTTCTTCTTCCATCTCCTTCAAATAAACTCGCATTCCACGTATACGAACAACAATGGCTTGTTCTTACCATAGGGGTTTATTCATGTTCATCATCACACTCGCCCTCGTCTTCTTCGCCACGGAGCGTTGTACGAGCAGCAGCAGCAGCGTTAGTGGCGATCGCAGAGATGGTGGGATTAGATTGGGCTCGCGATTGACGGCAGCCACCGCCGCCGCATGGGTCTCTCACAATGGAACATTTGCTTTCGGCTTCACCCCAGCGGCGGTGGCCGCCGCCAGCGGCAGCTCCTCCGCCACCCGCCAGTTTTACCTCTCCATTTGGTTCGCTATGCTCCCCGGAGATCCAACATTGGTCTGGTCTCCTAACAAGTATGTAACCAACCCCCCTCTAGCCGGACAATGCTAGGGGTACACCAACATGGGGTACCCCAAATGTACACCAAGCCAACACAGAAACACACAGACACAAAGTGTCTGTGTACACTTTGTGTCTTTGTGTGTCTGTGTTGGCTTGGTGTACACTTGGGGTACCCCATGTTGGTGTATCCCTAGCTTAATTCCCCTCTAGCCACCCACTTTACATTGGACAAAATCATTTAAAACGCTAAAGTTTAATCTTTTTTTTTGTTTGTTTAATCTGCATAAATCAATCACAATTTTTTTTATTACTATTTTTCAACCCTTCTTTAAACTAAAATGTTGGGACAAAGGGAGTTTAATTAACATAAATTTAGAAAAGAAAAATTAGAGATGGATGGGAGAAATAGTGCACCTGAGGCAAAGGTTTCATCATCCATCACTAGTCTTTACAAGAGGTTTTTGCAGGCAAAAACAAGCCTATTTGGCCAATTCAACCAACCCCACATTCATCAATTTTCTCCTCTTCTCAATCATATCTCAATGTATAGAAATTCCCCAGTGAGCAAAGATGCAGTCTTGGAATTGGACCCCACCGGGAGCCTCGCCCTCACCGACCGCGGCACCACCGTGTGGACTTCAAACACCTCCCACGCAGGGGTAGAATCGGCATCCATGTCAGAAACAGGCAATCTCGTCCTCCTCACCTCCAACCGAACCGTTGCTTGGCAGAGCTTCTCATATCCGTCCGATACCCTCCTACCCGGTCAGCCATTGACCGTCTCCATGGAGCTCATCTCCTCCCCCTCATCTTCCCTGTCTCCTTCCAGTGGATACTACACCCTTAAAATGTTACAACAACCCACCTCTTTAAGCCTCGCGTTGACCTACAACGTCCCCAAAACCCTAGATTACGCGCCCGAGTTCTACTCCAATTTCTCTTATTGGTCTGGGCCGGATATTTCAAACGTGACCGGAGATGTGATTGCGGTTCTGGACGAGAAGGGGAGCTTTGGGATCGTCTACGGCTCCTCCTCCAATGGTGCTGTGTACGTGCACAAGAACGACGGTGATGATGATGACGGGCTGTCCTCTGCCACCAGTCGATCACTCAGACCGTCCGAGAACATATTGCGGCGATTGGTTCTTGAGATGAATGGGAATTTGAGGTTGTACAGATGGGACAATGATGTTAATGGGTCGAGCCAATGGGTCCCGGAGTGGGCAGCGGTGTCAGACCCTTGTGACATCGGAGGGATTTGCGGCAATGGGATATGCACTTTGGATAGAAGCAAGACGAATGCCTCTTGCCGTTGCTTGCCAGGGAGTAACCAGGAGGCTAGGACTGACGACGTCCAGTGCTTCCTGAATTCTTCCCTGACCGGAAAATGTGACCGGAATCACGAGAACCTGACCGGCGGTCAGTTCAAGATGGAGACAATGCAGCAGACCAGTTACTACTTCTCCGACAGATCTGTGATCGCGAATTACAGTGACAACGCGACACTGTCCAAATGCGGAAATGCTTGTTTGTCTGACTGCGAGTGTATAGCTTCTGTGAATGGGATTAGGGAGGAAAAGCCTTACTGCTGGCTACTCAAGAGTCTGGAATTCGGGGGTTTCCAGGACCCCAGCTCGACGCTGTTTGTGAAAGTGGAGAGCAACGGCTCCTTCAACAGTACGACGACAAGGTCAAAAGGGTCACCGAATAAGAGTGCTCGCGACAAGGCTTTGGTGCTTCCCATTGTTTTGAGCATGAGCCTCCTGATTGGGCTACTGTGTAGCCTATTGTACATCAACATTCATAGAAAGAGGTCACTGAAAAGAGCACTTGAAAGCTCGATGATTCTTTCAGGAGCCCCAATAAACTTCAGTTATCGCGACTTGCAATCCAAGACCAACAACTTCTCTCATTTGCTCGGCACAGGTGAGACATGATTCTTGTCTATCATAATCAATAACTTGTCTCAATCAAAACCGTTACTGATCTCTCCATTTTCAGTTCTCCGGTTCTTCCCAAAGTGGTTCTTTTAGTCCTCTTCCGTTAGGGCTTCTAGGTGGACTAGAGGCCAGAAAAAGCTTCTCTGGGAAAAACTAACTAAAAATGGAGAGGTTAGTTGTTCATACGATTAAAAGTGTGACTAAAGTGTTACTATAATGTCTGAACATGCTTAAAGATGTAGTTTATGTTGTCAGGTGGATTTGGAAGTGTGTTCAGGGGAGCCCTGGGAGATGGGACATTGATTGCAGTGAAGAAGCTTGACAAAGTTTTACCTCATGGTGAGAAGGAATTCATAACAGAGGTGACCACCATTGGCTCCATGCATCACATGAACCTCGTCCGCCTTTGTGGATTCTGCTCCGAAGGGACACGAAGGTGAGCGATCTTTCATTTCTTGAAATCCAGATGCACATAATTCTATCTTGAAGTGGACTAATACAAAAAAAAAGTTTTATTTTACTGGAATGGCAGGCTTTTGGTGTATGAATTCATGAAAAATGGGTCTCTGGATAAGTGGATCTTCCCTTCATTCAGTAACAAAGATAGGCTGTTAGATTGGGAAACTCGGTTTCGTGTAGCCCTTGAAACAGCACAGGGGATCGCGTACTTTCACGAGCAATGTAGGAACAGAATCATACACTGTGACATCAAGCCAGAAAACATCCTCCTCGACGACAGCTTCTGCCCAAAAGTGTCGGATTTCGGGCTGGCTAAACTCATGGGCAGAGAACACTCCCATGTTGTGACTATGGTCCGAGGAACCAGAGGGTACGTAGCTCCGGAATGGATCAGCAACCGCCCCATCACAGTGAAAGCTGATGTTTATAGCTATGGTATGCTTCTTCTCGAGATCATCGGCGGTCGTAGGAATCTTGACATGAAGTTTGATGCAGATGACTTCTTTTTCCCAGGATGGGCATACAAGGTAGTGCACTGATTATTACTCCCTCTGCCCCTAAAAGAGACTCTTCATTCCTTTTCTGGGACGTCCCAAAAAAGACTCATCTTTCCATTTTTGCTTCATTTTGCGTGGCCCATCATCTTTCTCTCTTCTGTGCATCACTTCCAACCACACAATTTCACTTTTTTTTAACTTTGTGCCAAATCCAATTGGGAGACTTTTTTTTGAGACAGAGGGAGTAATTTTTGCTTCTTTTTTTTTAAGTTAGTCCCAAAAAAGACTCATCTTTCCATTTTTGCCACATTTTGTGTGGCCCATCATCTTTCTCTCTTCTCTGCATCACTTCCAACCACACAATTTGACTTTTCTTAAACTTTGTGCCAAACCCAATTGCGAGGCTTTTTTTGAGACAGAGGGAGTATTTTTTTTCTTTTTTTTTTAACTTAGACCCCAACGAGTTCTACTTCGATTTTTTTCTAACCCCTACTATTTTTCAATTGGGCGCCAAGTCCCAACAATCCCAACATAGAGCCTTATAGGTGCCTATAACTTTTTAGCACAGTAGAAAGATGAATTTGTATGGGGACAGAAACAATGAAGTATGAGCTTTTTCTTATTCAGGGACAGAGGTTCTACAAGTGTTCTCATTTGACTATATTGTGATTCCCTTACCAGGAGATGACAAATGGAACACCAATGAAAGTTGTTGATAGACGTCTACAAGGGAACGTGGAAGAAGAAGAACTCGTGAGAGCATTGAAGGTAGCATTTTGGTGCATACAAGACGAGGTCGGGTCGAGGCCTTCAATGGGAGAAGTGGTGAAAATGTTAGACGGGTCGGTAGGCATTAACTCGCCTCCAATGCCACAGACAGTACTGGAATTGATAGAAGAGGGGCTGGATCAGGTTTACAGGGCAATGAAGAGGGAGGAACACAACCAGCTGAGCTCCTACACCATCACTAGCCAGCCATCTTATGCTACATGTAGTTATTCCATAATGTCGCCTAGATGATAATGATGATGACATGGCAGCAATACAAAGACAACTATTGTTTTGAGATTAATGCATTTCGATTCTAAAAAGGGCAAAGATGGAAACACGATTGAAATTATTGGATTAAATCTGCATACATGCAGAAAGAAATCAAATCCACAAGAACTGTACCAATATAAAGCAGCATATTTACATGACACACATGACACCAAATTGACCTTTACCTTTCTACATCGTATTGGCTAAAGAGCCTGTAACAATTATTACCAAGTCCTATATTTTTTTTAAAAAAAAATAATCATTTTATTATAGAACAACTTAAAGCTATAAATCAAAAAGCTACCAAACCAGACCAAGCAGAATGAGTAATTAACAGCATGAAGAGATAATGCTTATACCCAGCTATGAAGCAGAGGAGAAGCATTTCCAGGCTCTGATGGAACATTAGCTGCTTGATTAGCCTTGCTAGTACCTCCCATAATCATCGCCATTAAGCTGCCACCATGAACTCGGCCTTCTGGAAGTGAAATTTTGTTCATTGAAACATTTTCAGCTTCAAATGTAACTTGTGGGTGAGTAGCATCATTAGTCGACCCATTTGGATGGCTTGCCAAGCCACCACCAGCAGCAAATCCATATATACTTCCAAGTGTGAAGGATTGTGGCGGCACTTGTAATGCTGGGGCAACTGGGGTACTGCCTTGTATTTTTATTTCCATCATCTGGGCACAATGGGCAGCACACAGTCCTGACTTCCCTCTTGCAAATTTATCACACGCAGCAACAGCTGCTCTGTCGCCGACCTTGAATCCCATCTGCCCCCAACAGCAGCGCTTACCTCCACCATGTGCTTTGCAGAAATCAGTACTTCCTTGTGCACTCTTACTACACCCTTCAAACTTGCACCTTTTACCACCGCCATGTCGAACACAAAAGTTTGTACGGCCCCTTGCGCTCTTAGAGCATTCTGCCACTGCACATCTCTTCCCACCACCATGACCGACACAAAACGAAGTGCCACCATGCACACTTTTTGTGCACCCTTCATGAGTGCACCTTTTACCACCACCATGCCCTTTGCAAAACGGAGTGCTCCCCTCGGCACCCTTTGTGCACCCTGGAAACGTGCACCTCTTACCGCCACCGTGAGCTTTACAGAACTGTGTGCTCCCTTGAGCACCTTTCGTGCAGGATGGGTATTGGCAACGACGGCCCCCGCCGTGCGAGATGCACAGTCCGGATATTCCCTCGGCACTCTTTGTGCATCCGTCCACCTTGCACCTCTTGCCGCCTCCGTGCCGGATGCATAAGCCAGACCCACCTCTTGCAGCTCTAGTGCAGCCTTGATGACTGCATCGCCGACCACCACCATGGTTGATGCAAAAGTCTGTGCGGCCCTCGGCACTCTTGGTGCATCCAAGAAATTGGCACCGCGGACCCCCACCATGAGCCTTGCAGAAAACCGTCTTACCTTCAGCTCCTTTTTGACAGCCATCTCTCTGGCACCTCCTGCCACCTCCGTGAGCTATGCAAAGCCCAGAAGAACCTCTTGCACCCCTGACACATCCTTCAAAATTGCAAGTTCTTGTGCTTGCATTACGTCTCCGTGGGGCCTCAAACCCGGAAGTAGTGCTAGTTGAACATTTTGGCAATGGTGGGTTTATCTCCAACGTTAGCAAAGGAGGTCTAGATTTCCAGCTAGAAGATGTTGATCCTTCATCCACAAGTTGGGTGACAGTGGTGGTATCTGATTCGGTTAGACCGGTTGAAAGGTTCAGTTCAAGGTCCAATTTGGGCCTTTTATTATCTAGTGTAGATGCATTTACTTTATCTCGATCTGTATTGTTGCCCCATTTAAGATCAATGCCTAGATCAAGACAGATGGATGACTCCTGTCCTGGTTCGTTCCCTTTTGATGAAGGAAGGCAATAACTTGATGAACAGCCTAATTCCAAACTGAGTGATACATTTTTCATGAACCCATCAAAAGTGCCAGATTTCCTCTTTACTCCAAAGTAAGGACTTGACAGAGAAGGAGAATGAACCCCAAGGGGGTCCACATCAGAATTACCAGCGCCAACATCAAAGCTATGAACTTTTTTAGATTTGGAGGCAAAGGAAGGAGTGTAATGGAAATGGTTATTGTCCATGAACCAGAACCACAGACAGTACTTAGACAACAGAACTCTCAGTCAGTCACTTGTAGAAACACTTCTTGCCAGTTATATGGGGTTATAGTTTAGGATGAAAACTAGAACAGCCAATCTAAAACATATCCATCCAAGGAATCCAAAATGAACAGTCACTACCTCCGCTAACAAAGCCCGATGTGTCACAACGATCCATTTTTCTTAGATGTAAAAAATTAATTGAATCAAATCAAAAGTTGACAGAGAGCATCAAGTAAGACTCGCAACCAGTCCCCTGAGAAAAAAATAAGAAGAGAAAAAAAAGTTATTGCAGGGTTCTTGTCAGAAAATAAACACAGAACCCAGCCTAAACAATGACACACATAATAATGCAAAATCCAAGACAATCATGAAGGTGTTAATGAGTTATATATATCCATCAAATAATATATTATATAAATAATTATATACAGAGAGTTAAACAAAGGAAATACAGTTCCACTATCCAGGCAAACACTGATCAAGAATAGAGTTCTCAATCGATAAGAAACCTATTACGAATAACAACCATCTTCATTCCTGACAGTAAGAAGAGAGTAGAAGAAAAGCTACTCAGCTCGGGAGAGTTATGGGTGGCCATAAGGAATAACTTCATAAAGCTGGTAAGTAAAAGTAATACATTTAACATTCGGCATTGTAATGCAAGCCAGGACAAAGTGCTCAATGTATTAATAGTTAATCTATTCATTTTGATTAAAACTGAAACCCAACACTTTCAAAGACAAAGAAAAAAGGTCGCAAGTGAAAAACCTTTGACCATTTGTTTGGGGCAACTGAATAGAAACTGGACCGGCTACTCTAGGAATGAATTTAGTACCTTGGAAGTTGGATCAAGTAACTATAAAAAAACAAAAAATGTGCAAACAGTTGGAACACCTCCAAGACCCTGTAATAGAGTCTACGGAGTAATATTTATAGAAAATAGCACATGTAGCCTTTAAATAATTGGGATATAGCAGACTCAGTCCATAAGTCCATTAATTTTTTATGCCTCCACTTTCCAGCCTTAAGATATCATGTTGGTGGCGTTTTTAGTCCGCAGTATTAGTAGAAGATACCATATTTTTTGGGGTTATTTTTGTCCATATGAATGAAATCATTTTTGTATTCGACTTTGCATTTAAAAAAAGGTAGTAAGTCAAATTTGATTAATTGAATATTTCTTTGTAACAATTTAACATATTCTTAGTTCTTACTCCTTACATAACAGAAATAAAAGTTCATTAGAAATATTAAAAAAAAATCTAGTTTTTCAAATTTTTGTTTATTTTCTTCAAAATTTTCTTTTGTACAAAGTTTACTCCATTTTTTCCACAAGCATCTTTTGGGTTAAAAATTAATGCTTCTATGAAAATATAAGTTATCAAATGAAGTATGAAAATGATTTCGAATTGTTTTGAGAGTTTATGAGTATGCTTTATATACTAGTAATTTTGCTTGAAAACTGCCCAAGAGAAAGTTATGAGTGGAGAAACGGTGCAAGTAAAAGAGCATAGAAAGAGCCAAAGCGAATTTCCAACGAATGAATTGTATACGAATTATTATCATAGAAAAAGCAGAAACACCAAGAAAGATATTGCTTTACATCCAATTCTCCAGTTTCACAACAAACAAAAAACAGGGCACAAAGACAACACAGGAATATTTGAAATCGATACAATCCAACAACTTTCACCGTTTCCACACATCAATCAGACAGCGAATCCCGAGAAAATAAAATCGGAGAGCTTATGAGTAAAGTAGCAACTAGCAAGAGAGTCACGCGAGACTGAATGGAATAGAATTACCATCAACGCGAGGGTTTAAGGGCGGTGGCGAGCGGGGAACACGATCGGCGAGCGCTAAGGTTTGGCGGCGGCGGCAGTTGATCTGCGGCAGCTGGGCGGGGGCAAGAGCTTTAGAGCCGTAGGGAGAAGGAATAGGAGAATTAAAAGGGCCGCGGCGATCCCCACCCACGTGCTCCTCCACCGATGCTTCCTCTGTGTGGCTTTGCCGCAACCGTTGCTCTTGTCCACCTCAGATTCTACGGAGTAAATTTAAAGAAAAAATTTACGGTGTCAAAAATTCTACTCCGCATCTAATGTTAAATGGAAAACCGTACCTTTTGTTCAATTATTACTCCTAATTTTTTAGGTTTTGGTATAAAGATAGAATTAAATTATTTCCACCCCAAAAAATTGTACTTCACTTTATCCCCTTGAAAGCATGCACAAATATTTCGTACTAGTATGATAATTTATACGGACATAAAATGTCAATGTAACTTTTTTATTAAATTAGCATTTTGTGTTGGTTTGAACTGTTAAAATGCACCCGATGCATTCCTTTGGATACAATTTGGGATACACTTTTGGACATACCCCTAGCAGGATTGATGAATATATCAAGAGTAATCCCGCATTCCAAAAAAATATCAAGAGTAATCCTGATATTTTAGAGTTGACGTGATAGTGTATCACTCATATATGTATAAATGATAATTGTTAGTATTGCACGGATAGTTATTGTCTGGGTGTATCTGTGTAAAACATGAGGTTATAGTAACATGAAAATGTTGGGTTACTTTAGCACAAAGTTTTTATTATCACGCATTTTCTACAAGTAGTTCGCAATTATAAGATTCACCGATGTATCTACTTTCTCATACATCATGACAAATTTATAAATTGATAATCAAAACCCTAGGTACCATCATGCGTCTGAACTCAATCGTGAGAAAAGAGGAGCCGATCGATCAACAATCCAAACCCTAGGTGATGGGTTGCTGCATTATTGTGAAAATGAGCGGCAAAGAGGGGACAAATGGAACGCGACAATCGAAAACGGGAACAAAGGTCAATGTGGTGGCTGCTTTGGGATGGAGGATTGGATGTAGTGGTGGTCTGCTTCAAGATGGAGTTCATGGTGGGCTTATACCCTGAATATTTCTTTAATGAACATTATGTTACTCGTAAATGAACACTATGTTTGTTTTATGAAAATGAGTATTGTACTTCACAGAAATGAACATTTGACAAATAGAGAACAAAATAAAAAATATTCAAAATGAATATTTTGTTGCATAGAAATGAGTAAGGTACATTAGATTGTACAACATACTTCACTGTGCTTAAAAATGAGTGTATAAGTTTGAAGTTAGTTTTTATTATTTATCTTTTTTATTTCATTAATTTTGTATGGTTCTAATTGTTTCTCATTTTCTTTAATTTTAATTTTTTTTTTATTTTTTTAGATGTAAGACTAATCTTCAAAAAATGAATTAGGTAGAAATTTGTTTTAAAATTTTAAGAGAAAATTCAAAAAAGCATTAAAAACTAATAATGAAATTTTATCAAAAATAATCTCAATTTTCATTTTGTTGTTTAAAATAAGTCATCGTTAGGGTTATTTTAGATTTTTTTTTGAAAATACTCCCTCTGTCCCAAAATGTAAGCAACCATTACTATCTCGGTCTCTCGATTACTTTTGTTTATAACTTTACTTTTTATTTTTTTATCAATCAATTTGTTGATAAAATTATTTTTATAAAATAATATTTCACACGTCGTTTGGAATATTACTTACGGAATACTCCTTCCGTCTATAAATAAAGTTCCCGTTCACTATTCACAGGGTCAAATTTTATTCACTTTGTTAACATATTTTCGTCACCAATTTGATAAGATAATATAATCATGTCACCTCTAGTTTTATAGATTTTTTGATATAGTTTTTTAATATGTAATTTTTATTTATAAATTTTACACCATTTTTCATATAAAATGATTTGAAATATATAATCATGTCACCTCTAATTTTGTAACCATTTTTATTTATAAATTTTACTCATTCCTTACATATTTTTTTGGAAGGATTGAGTATTTTTTGAAGCACAGTGCCCAAAGGTGGTCCGGTCTGTGTGATTGGGGCCGTCTGTCAAGAGTTTAGGCGCGAGCCAAAAATCTGCATTTATCCTGAGCAAATCCGGTAGAATAACTTGGACTGATCACTGCGACTCTGCGACTGAGTCGCCTCGTAATCGTCCCGAATTTCATCCAACCGTTTCGTAAAGAAATGCTTAGCCGGGGATCGAATGCTCGGATTTCCGGCATTTCTGTCCGATCGCCGATTTCTTCTCTTATGCTCGCCATGTTGTCCACCATGGCTTCTCTGTACGTCGCCGGCCGGTGAGTTACCCGCTTCAGTTTTATCAAGCTCTTCTACTGAGGTTTTAATCCCTCATTATTCGTTAATTTAAATCAAATACAATTGAAATGGATACTTTCCGGACTTATTTTTTAACCTTAATTGCTGGATCTGCGAAGGCTGAAACCCCCATTTTTTTCTGTTTTTTTCTATTCTAAATTCATGCTATTTACGGAGTAATTTATCTGTTTGTTAGTCTCACCTTCACTCAATTTGTCAGGTATATTTGCAAAAAAAAATAATAATAATTGCTAATACTCGATTTTTGTCTGAGCAGTTTATGGATAGATGCTGAAAATAGAGTTTACTTAACAAAAGAGCTTGATCGGATAACTGGTCAGGTATGAACGTTTTAATGAAATTCCTTATGGGGATGTGGAATTTCTGTTACTGATTTGCAATGCCATGGTTGCTCTCTTCTTGGAATTTTATTTCTTATAGAATGGTCTTTATTTTTCACTTTTATCCTCTTCAAACTATGATGAATAGCCACTGGATGGCGTCATATGTATCTTTTTATGATTGGAGAATTTATTATCACGTATGGAAGTATGGAAAGAGAGACTTGGAGAAGGATTTAGATTGATTTCTTTCTTCATTATTTAATTAGTAATTTGCTTTACTATTCAATGGTTCTTTGTAATTTTGCATGTAATTAGTGGTCTTTTGGCTTCACATGTAGGCTAGCTTTTCTCCTTCATATATACGGATGTATCATCTGGTGAAGAAAAAGAATATACAATAAATAAACTTCGTTTTATCATTTATGAAGAAATAACAATATAGACAGTCTTGGAATGGTAAAGGTTAAGACATAGGAGAATTTTCTAAGAGATAGAGCATTTTTTTGCTACACTTGTTTGATAAGTGCTGTATATGTTCCTCCAACTTTGTGCTACTACACCAATGATAGAATTTCTATGCTGAATTTTCTATTCTCCTTTGATATTTGTGCATTCACAGATATGCGTATTAGTACATCCCTTATATTGATGTAAGTTGACTGTATTTTCTTCTTCATCAATAGGGACAGTCTGCAATCTCTGTAGATGACACTTGGAAGGTCATAGAGTGCAGGTAGGCAAAACTTATAATTTCCTTAAAAATTTCATAAGTCTCCATTTGATACACGAGTATATGGATGGAAAGTAATTATATTTCTGACCACTATTATTTCCCACTTGCATGTGATACATAGATTTGATCTAGAGCATAGTTACTGTTTCACAGTGAATTCACCATATCATTGAAACCATATTGACCACACACTACATGGAGCAAATTGTGATTCCCACATATAGCGTGGAGCAAATTGTGTTTTGTACATACTGATCGAAGCCAACTGTGCTTCCCATATATTTCTTGGACCAAAGTAATTAATGTATTCATGCATACCGAATAGAGATCAAGTCATTTTCATTTAGTTAAATCAGAATTTTTCTCCATTAGGGAACAGATGAAGACACTTTCATCCTTGGAAGCAGAGCTGACAGCTGCTCAACAGGAGGGTTTTGTTCCAAAGGAGTTAGCCAATACTAAAAAAAGGCCTTTGGTTGTGATTGGGATTTTTACTAGATTTGGGCGCAAAAATGATAGAGATTCTATTCGCAAGGCATGGATGTCCACAGGTAGATTCCAACTTTCTATGTGGTCTTCATAGCTGATTTTTACATCTTGAAAGGTTCCCCCTTGCATTTGTCTAGACTTTAGATACTTAGGTGTTTTCAGTGGCCCCCTTTAGTTTGTGTCTAGAGTTGGAGATTCTCATGTATTTTTCAACTACTATAAGATTCAACTTTCTGCTTTGCAAAAAAAAAACAACTTTCTCTCCACCACAACAACAAAAACAACCCAGTTGAATCCCACAAAAGTAGGGTCTGGGGAAGGTGTGTGTACAGACCTTACCCCTACTCAAGCACCACTGGTAATCACGTGCGCAGCCTAACCCCTATGTTTAAAACATAGAGCGGTTGTTTCCGGAGGACCCATGATGAGCGTTGAAAGTTGCATTGACTATCTGCTACTTCACTATTAAAAGAAGCGCAAATAGTTTAAAGAGCTATTTTGCTTTATCCAATCATGCTCCACAACCAAATAGTGAAAGAACCAAATAATAAAATGGTCAAAATAATTTCTAATGATTTCTTAATACATATCATGATGATCCTAATTTCGTTTCTTAGGATTCTATTTTGAGTACTTCCAAGTTACAAGTTTGATATCAATCACATAGTTGTGCTGCTCAGGTGCGGCCTTGAAAAGGATGGAAGATGAGATGGGTGTTATTGCCCGATTTGTCATTGGCAGAAGGTGCATTTTCTGACTATTTATAAATTATAATGCTTAACATGCCCTTCCTTCTGTTTTATGTCGGTACATTTGAAATCTAAATATGATGCCATGCTGATTGCAGTTCTAAACGTGGGGACAGCTTAGACAGAAGTATCGACGATGAAAACAGAGAAACCAATGATTTTTTCATTCTTGTGAGTCATTTGGCTAATTTTCATTTTTTTGAACTGCTGAATTGCTAAATCTTTGTTCCTACTTTCTACTTTGTGCAGGTTTAGATTAGTCAAGCATTTCTTCTTGTAATAGTATTGTGTAATTACAATTAAACATTTAAAAATCCATTAAGTAACTGAAAAATGAAAATACTTCAAAGTACCTATTTTTTAAACATATTCTCAAATAGCACTCACGATTTCCTTCGGATGAAAATCCAAGCAGTGGCTTGAAAAGATTTGAACTAAGACATCATTTGTGGAAATGAGAGCCTATTTATGTATGCTGCACTACTGCGCTATATCTGTGTCATTTATGTGTTCAAGTCTTGTATTTGACAGGAAGAACATGTTGAGGCTCCTGATGAAGTATCAAAAAAGGCAAAACTATTTTTTGCTCATGCGGCTGATGGGTGGATTGCTGATTTTTATGCAAAAGTAAATGATGATGTCTACGTAAATATTGGTATGGTTAGCAATTATATGGCATCTCGGTTGATAGTTTAGTCACTGTAAAAAATTTGCCCTAGAATATAGTGTCCATATATGTGTCTATGTATTTATATGTATATGCCTTATATCTAGATTTTCAACCAAGCACGAACTTATTTGACTGCACTGACGGAATATCATATAAAACTGTAGTGCCTGATTTTGTTATTGAAATAAATGAAAATGACATTTTAACACTCATTTTCAGATATTATATTTTAAAGTAATTTTATAAAGAACATATAATTTAAATAGTTAAAATTATTTTTAAGCATACAATAACGTGCAAGGCAAGGTTTGCCTACACTACACCCTTGTGGTGGGACCCTTCCTGGGACCCCTGCTCAACAGGGATGCGTTGTGCACCAGGCTGTCGTTTTTTGTAACTTAAATATTTCCTTGCAGATTCTACGGTGACAATTTAATGTTTATTTTCAGATATTACAACAACAACAACAACCCAATTGAATCCCACGAGAGTAGGGTCTGGGGATGTGTGTGTTTGCAGACCTTACCCATGCTCGAAAGTAGGGAGGTTGTTTACAATAGACCCCCGGCTCAAGTAACACAAATAGCACAAGATATTTTCAGATATTATATTCTTAATTTATTCGTAAATACATAATTTATAATATTAAATATTTTATCAGATAATTCAACTATTTAAGCCACAATTTCAGATACTTCATTCAGTTCAATAATTTCTGCCAAATTTTAACCTTGCCAAACAAGCTCGCATTGTTCATCCAACAACCACAACCAAGCCTTAATCCCAATTCAATGAGCTCGGCTACATGAACCAATAGATTATCTTCCATAGTCATTCATTGAACGTAAAATACTCATTATGGTTCATGTTCATAGATGTGATTGAATTTTATGCTAGCCGTCAACCTAGCACAACCCCCTACTCAGTATGGTGTATGTGCACACACGCAAACATGCAGAGCATTTTAATACGGAGTATTAGAAAGACTGACTTTTTTCTATAATTACTGAGCAGATGCCCTAGGGAACACACTTGCAGAATATGTGAACAAGCCTCGCATATATGTTGGGTGTATGAAATCAGGGGAAGTCTTTTCTGAGAAGTGAGTTGGCAGAAGTCTTGCCCAGAATCAAATCATGAGAGCTGTATGGTTGATTCATTTCATTTGGTCCTGTTATTTGATGATATTAATGGCTTGCCTTTGCTTTAAATTCACAGGGGACATAAATGGTATGAACCAGACTGGTGGAAATTTGGTGATGGAAAAACGTAAGAAGCATCTTGACACCACTGTCCACTATATTCACTCTGTATTGCATCCTCTTGAACATATGGTTCTTTATACTCAATTAATTTTTTTAGTAGATAGAAAATTAAAACTAAAAAGGGATGTCTAGGATGGTTGTCTGATTTCATCCGGTCCTGCTAACTTCTGTTCAGTTACTGCGAAATGTCATTATATTCATTTTCTAGGATTAGTAGCGAATATGAAACACGGACTTGGAGAAATTCTTGGGTAGAGTAAGTCCCTTATGTCAATTAATAATGATATGAGCGGATCCCATTGATGCCAATACATCAAATGCCTGATTTGTTTCTATTGCCCAAGTCTATGAATGAGGTGCTAAAGTCTACCTTAGAATTTCTCCTTGAACTGGCATAGGCTCTACTTGAAGAGTTGAAGTCCTGAAATGGTAAATTAACTTGGATGTTATTTTCCATTGACAACTTGTACCCACAGGTACTTCCGTCATGCTTCTGGGGATATGATTGTGATATCACGAGCATTAGCTAAACATATATCAATAAATAGGTAATAATCTCTACTTCCTCCAACCATGTGAATCCAACCTAGTGCTAACATTTGTAAACCCGCAGATCCATCCTTCGTACATATGCGCATGATGATGTCACTGTCGGGTCTTGGTTCATCGGCGCTGATGTCAAGCATGTGGATGATAAGAAGTTTTGCTGTTCTTCTTGGTCGACAGGTCTATTCTCGCTCTCATCTTTTCTCTGCGAACCTGTACCCACCAAAACCCTGCTCTGAATGATGTTTGTTTGCAGGGTCCATCTGTTCGGGCGGATAAGTGTAGAACCTTTCTAACCGGACGATACTATTGAAACATTGTATTCTTATGACTTCACCATTCTTTATACATTGAAGAGACCGGGTCGACATTGAGACGTGGGGAGTTGCTCTCAGTTATGGGTATCCCAAAATACACACAGAGATGTATAGTCGTCACAGTTTTTTTTAAAGTAAGGACATGAGTCACATGACATAGGACATTTTTTCTTGTTAAACTGTGCTTGAACTATGATATATAAAGGGGTTGTTTCCCCGGGTCACTCTTACCTGTACAACTTGCATGTTCAGTTGTAAGCACTTCAGGTGTGAGGTGTGATAGTTATATAGATATGTGAGTTTTTTCATTGATACTTAAATTGATTACAGTTTTTTTTCTAAGCTTTTGAGGGTATAATTCGAATTTATTCCGTAATAGAGTAAGAGAATGGTTTTTAATGAAGAACATGGCTTTTTTTAATTAGTTTTGGAATTATGGTTTTAAAGTCTACATGTGAAATGTGAGCTTTTTCAAATATATTTATGGGCTCGCAGTTCTATCTTTTTGGTTTTACAAGGTCAATACGTTTAACAGGTTTAAATAACATGAACCCAAGGATCACAAAATAATTTGTCTTATTTTCTACTACGTATATGGTTTTGGTTTTGTAAAATTTGTACTAAATAGTATTAAAACATATGCTTTATTGCAATGTAGTACTTGAATTTTTTTATTCGCTCAATAGTACTTGAATAATGTCTAGTGGCGGGAATAATATTTAGTAATGATGGACATTTAATTTGAACAATGTCCAATGGTGTTCGGTATTTACTTGAACAATGATTAGTGGACATTGAAGAGTGGTATTACATTGAAAAAATAAAAAACATATTTTACTAAATTGGAAAAATTATTATGTTTTAGTACTATTTTGATAAATTTTGGAAGGCTTTGAGTTCCATTATTTGACGGAAACACTTTTATTGCGAAATAACGGGACCTAGGTCAATGCACCAATAGACAATTATGATTAAAAAAGACGTCCTTGTCCACAAGAGCAACCATTAAAATCATTTGTAATATTTTCACTCTCAATCAGAAGTCATTCAGTGTTGATTGCACTCATTTCACAACCATAATGCTCCACTTATATAATGACTACACAATTTATAATATGAAGAAGTACCGCCATATAGAACTAATATATGCTTAAAATACCCAATATAGCACTGCTATGAGATATTGGAACTCGTGTGGATACAATTCCAAATTTGTCCTTGAATTCTACACTGCCAAAAGATATATTTAAGTTGGTATACATTTCCTGAAATGGGCATACAATTCCAAACCCAAACATGTATAACATACTGCTGTCATACCCAAATGAAATAATTAAAATATTGCATTATAATAAAAGGATCGACAAGGTTCCCATGGCATTGCCGGACAATGGTGTAAAAGGATATGATTGAAAGACATCCACGCTATAAATAGTCAAATGTGTGAAAAACAATAAGGAATGCTATATATTTAATATTGGGTGTCTCAGAGTGCTCCATAAGGTGATTTCTTTTTATAATATTGTTTAATATGTATCTGTACCTAATTAAACTAAATAATAATATTGCCAATACATGGAGTCACCTCGACATATCCATTTACAAATAGTAAAGAGAATTATGCGATACATCAAAGGTACTATAGATTGCGGTATATTCTACTCATCATCCAAGGAGATTGAGATTGTTGGATACTCAGACAGCGATTGGGGTGGAGATTTAGACGAAAGGAAAAGCACAAGTGGTCATTGTTTAATGCTCGGGAAGACTGTTTTCTCTAAGTCATCAAAGAAACAGCCCATTGTTGCGTTGTCCACGTGTGAAGCTAAGTATGTAGCAGCAACATCAAGTGCGTGTCAAGCAATTTGGCTTAGCAATATTACGAGTCAAATTGATTTTGATATTGAAGGGCCAATTAGAATTAAGGTTGATAATGTTTCAACAATTAATTTGGCTAAGAATCCAGTTTTTCATGGAAGAAGCAACTCAAGCAAGCATATTGATATTCGTTATCACTTCTTAAGAAACCAAGTGGGGAAGAATACAATCAAGCTGGAATACTGCAGACCTGAAGATCAAATTGCAGACATCTTTACCAAGCCATTGAAGCTTGATGCATTTGTCAAGTTAAGGGACATGCTTGGAGTGAAGACCATCCCTTATCAGAATTAAGGAAGGATGTTGGATAATTTGGTTAATTATTTATTAATTCTGATTTTTAATTATAAGTTAGAGTGTTTGAATTATTCTTGAATAATTGTCCTAGTCTTCAGGGTTGTTAAGAGTATTGCTTAGTGACATGTTAGTTAGTGATCATATTTTTATGGTCTATAACAAGATATGCTTGTTATATAAATTTGCTATTTTTACATTATAGCAAGTGAATAGTGATATAACAAACACTTTTTCGTTTCATTCTCCAACCATAATTTGCTATTTTATTTTTTAAATATTGGCTTGCTAAAGTTTGAGGGGTTGTCATATTTAACAAGCCAAAGTCATTTTTTAGCAAAGTTGCTAAAATAAAGCACACCCCTTGGAGAAGAACAAAAGTGTTTAGCTAACTATATTATAACTTTTAGCAAGTTAAAATGCTATGGTTGGAGATGCTCTTAGTGGTTTGTTATTAGGCCTCTTTCCTAGCTTCTGTTGGCGGTAAGGTGACCTATATATATGATCATCTGATTTCATTGTTTCTGTGAAGAAGAAAAAGCAGCAGATCAAATACAAAGCTTTCATCTTAGTTCCTGAGTAGTATTAATTTTGCACTTGCATTATATATCAAAATCACAGCATACTACTATTCTCTATTCTTTTCCTTCACTAGGTGTAAACATGGCAAAACCTTTCAACATTAATATAAGAGAGCATATGAATTTATGAATTGAATAAGAATTGCATATGAATTTTGGAAATAAACCTGAATCTCGAATTGACGTTGATATATAAGTGGATCTTGACCCCATAAATTTGACGCTAAGAATCCGAGAAGAATTAGTGGATTTTGACTTCCCTTCGTTGTGGTGCAGATTTCCATTCCTTGGGAGATTTCCTTTCCAACGGCGAAGATCTACCGCGAAGAATCAATGGATTTTTGGCAAAGAAATTTTGGGTAGGCAATCACGCTTAGAGAGGGAAAGAATCAGTGTGGAAGCTTTCTGCGATTTTCTCGTGTAATTGGACGTGTGTAAGGAGCCTTATGTGTAATCAAATTAGAGAACCTAAAGTTGCCACGTGTCAAAGCTCTACACATAAAACTTTCAAATTTTATATTAAAAGATTTTACTAACAAATTAATATAGAAATAAAAAATATAAATTATATTATTTAAAAGTACATCAAAAAACTATATTATGAAAAAAGAAAACCAATAAATATATTTCATAGTATCGAATAATCAATAAAATTATATATACAAAACTAATTATCGAAACATCGTAATAATAAACAAAACAAAATAGATAGGAGATAGAGTGGAGTAGTACTCATTCTCGTACAAATATAAACATTCATTTCGAAATACGTAGTACTCATTTTGGTTAAGGTAGTACTCATTTTAAAATAAATAAGTACTCATTTTTACACATTTGTCTAATATAATTATAATAAATAGCGTAGTGTTCATTTTTAAAAAATAATACTCATTCTCAAATAAGAAAATGTTCATTCTGAAATAAAATATTGTTCAATTTTTTCACAATTAAAAAGTTCAGTACCATCATCAACTTCTTCCTCTATTCGATTCGTTCCTACTCATTTATACTCTCTGAGCATGGAGAATTTAAAACTCAGATTTATTCATGTTTGTATTGAATAATAATATGATAATTTCCATAAGTGCTGGTACTCCTCAAATCTACTGATACTCATTGTCATATGATAGTTCTCATATATGTTCTGGGCATTGGATAAAAAGTTTGTAAAATTTACAAAAAATAACAACTGTACCCTTCTCTATTTCATGTTCTGCGTTTGCTCTCTGTCAGGTGTAAAAATAGCATCTTCCTTCCCACCACCAGTTGAATCCCTCTCTCCACAAATCCCTTTCATCCTCTGCAGTCCAATCCCTCTATGGACTACGATTACAGGAACCGAGCCGGAGCTGCTGCTTACGATTCTCAGTTGCCCATATATGGACGGCCTTCGTCCACCGCTTCGCCGCCCTCCCATTCTCATCCGATGTATGCGCCTCCCGGCCAACCTCATCATCCGCCGGCTCTCCACCCCAGGATCGGTCAACACCTTGCCAGCCATCTTTCCGGCCGTAATTCGCCCTCTTTCCATCGCCCCTCTTCTGCTCCTTCTAGTAAGTCCATCTTCCTCTAATCCCTTACCGGAATTGATCGTTTTCTCTGCACTTATTTCTATGCTAATGAGGCTATCAGATTTATGGGTGTTCCAATTGATTTGCAGATGGAACTGGTATTAGAGTTGCCATAAAACCGGAGTACCGGAGTACCGGATTACACCTCCAGTATGGTTCTTAATAACTTGAACTAGAGCTCGATTATTAGACAAATCATGCATTATAATTTCTACTCATACAAATTTTCATAGTACCATTATGATCCTTCAACCAGCCTGTTATGGGTATGGCATTACTGAGATCTTTATTATCATTGGATGATTGTGGATCTTGAGAGATCGTATCTTAATATCATTTGATGAGTATTCAATCCTCCCTTTCAATTTCCATATCAGTGGGCTGAATTGGCTGGATTTGTTTAAGCTGATCGAAAGCAGTTTAAATTAATGTTAGGAATTACGTATGTGTTTAACCTTCATGGCCACAAGAACCCTAAGATAGTAATACATCATTGGTCATCTTCCTGCTAGATGAAATATTTTTTAAAAGGGATAAATACCTAACTAGGACTAAACATGCGCCATATACCAAAACAGGACATTTAATGTTTTCATACCAAGATATGATTTATATTGTCAAACAATGCCAACAAACATTGTGAAAGGCCAACACACAATGCCAAATTGAGGTATTTACAGTGCCAACACTTTTATTTAGGGTATAAAAACATGTGTGGTCTTGCTTTTGTATAAGTTTCATGTTTTAGTTTATATAGGTAGATCTCTTTTTTTAAAATTATACTTTGCTTTACTGTGGGCATCGTTGCAGAAACCAATGTGGGCGACCCACTTGGATTCGAAGTTCAAACACACAACAAGCATCTAATCGGTGTCTGAAGTGTAAATTATTTTGAAGAATTACTGGTAATTATGTCTAGCATATTTATAAAAAAACAATAACAAAATGTTAGCCAAACAACAACAACAACCCGGATGAATCCCACGAAGAGTAGGGTCTGGGGAATAACAAAATGTTAACCAATGCTAGTTAAAGGCGTCTGGGAGCACTTGAAGTTTCTAGCAGGTGCCTGGCAAGCCAGATCCTAGTGTGCCTAGTTGTCTTGATTCCTAATGATGGTTGAATTCGAATTTAACAAGGTCCTATTTCCTACAGAGTATGTTTTAGTGCATTACTGCAATAATATGCATGATTTCATTTGACTTGTCATTTTCAAGGTTGCAATTATATGCATGATTTCATTTGACTTGTAATTTTCAAGGTTGCAGATTATTTTCAAGGTAGCAGATAACAGTTTGTACTACTTTTGTTAGTCCAATTCTGTTGTTGGTGTTTTGATCCCTTTGCTGGTTATTTACAGCCACAATTATCCTCGCAAACCAGAGATATCCCACATAGTTCTTTCCAGTTTGATTTTGATTTTGAGAGGAAGATTTTGGCTGAAGCAGAGAAGGATAGCCAAAATTGGAGTGGGCTTGTCGATTCAGGAAGTATTGTGACAAATATGTCAAGGCAGACTTCTCCAGTGAGTACTTATCTTTTGGGATTTTTCCTCTTCTTCAGCAGAAGAAGCAATAAATAGTATGTCCTCCATCACAGTGTGTTTGTCTGCTTTCTTATTGGCACATGGACCAAGAAGATGAAAATAAAAGGGAAGAACTTTCTAAATTGTCATTAATTTTGGGAAGTGGGTAAATGAATTGGGGGTAAATGAAGCATTGCAAGGCATATTTTCTTTCACTGAAAAAAAAAGTGGACAAATACACGAGGATGGCTCAAAAAGGAACATTCGACATACATTGGGAATTTGGGACAGGGCAGTAAGTAGTGTCAGCCACAAATTTTTAGGTATATATGTACATTATACACACACACACACATATAGATTTTGGATTAAATGAGAATGGTGCATAGTGAACGAAATGAGAATGCATATAATCCATTAGATTTAAGATCTAAGGGCTATAAAAAATCAAAAATTCAGAAAAATTGAAAAATTCATGGTGGCAATTTTGTAAATAAATTGAACTTTTCGAAAATGAATACTAGAAGTGCAAAATGCAATTTTATAAATAAATTGAACTTTTCGCACATTAAGGATATTGTCACCTGAACCGGCCCCTATATATGTGTGTGTGTGTGTGTGTGTATCAAAGTAGATACTTTTTCAAAGTAGGTACTTCACCATGGTGCAATTTACAAAGCAAGTAGTGCATTTTTGAAAGTTCAATTTAATTACAAAAATGCCACCGCATTTTCCTGATTTTTTCTTATTTTTCAAATTTTTATGGCCCTTAGATTTCACACTCTAATATATATAATGTTCTTAAGGTTCTCATTGATGAGTGTTTCTTCTCCACTCACTCGTGGTCTATTTATTTAAACTTTACTCTCTCTAGATCTTGTTTGGGGGTGTTTTGTGTATATTAAGAAACTTATTTACTCATAATGTTTATGTGTAAAATGACCTCATTTCCCTTTCAATAACAATAATGAGCTCTATTGCAAATTAAGAGAGGGACAGAGTTGGAAGAGACCCAAGACAGTATTTAATTCTTAACAAAATTGTCTGTTGAGAGTGAATTATTATGAATTAGAGGGAGTGTGTTTAAGGTTTTAGAAAATTTTAAAACTGTGCCACTCGTTCACTTGTATGAATCATCATCATTAAACAAGGTATGATTGCCTAGGATAATTGGTTTCATTCTTTTTGTAGAAGTAATATTCTCATTCTTAACTTAAGTTTGAGTACTAACGCATGATAAAATCCACAATATATGCAAGTATTTCTGATTTTTTACATCCCAAACTGGTGCTTGAGTGCATTTTCTTGGTGGAGCAATTTAATCCTTAATCCTTCCTCTGTTAGATTACAACGGAGCATGATATCAAGCTTTGTTATGCCTTGAAAAACAGTAGCTAAATGGTTGGCTTGTCTCTGATAAGTTTCTATATCATATCATAGCGAAAGTGAATGTTGTTTCGCACTGAATTGTAGGGTTCTTCTGGAGATCCCATTGCAGACAAATACATTACTTCAGGTCTGAATAGAGATGCCGTTCCTCTTGCTGTTGCAAACTTCGGAGACAACCCAACAAAGGTATGTCTATCTCACCCGCATACACAAACTCCCGTACGAAATTGGTGCTACTGACAAAAGGGTACTAAAGTAACTGTTTTTCAGGTCCGAGAATTTGCGGATCATTATACTCGCTTGAGAGATATGGGGTTCTCGTCAAATGCGGTTGGAGAAGCCCTACTCATGTTTGACAATGATACAGAAAAGGCTTTGGCCTACCTCCTTAACAATAGCTCTTGAACGCTACAGTATAAGTTGAGCACAGGGAACTGAATCAATTTTTTTTCTATGTTGTGTGAATGAAATTGGTTTATAGTATATATATTTAACATTATGTTCTCTCCTTACATGGGTAATTCATCAACATTGCCAAACCCAACGCTTCGTAAGGATGTTCTTCACAATAGATAAACATTTTTTTACAAGGTTAGATTCTGTTCAATAGCAAAAAAGTCCACCTTTAATTGATACCTAAAACAAGAAGACGCCTTTGAGGTGAATGGATCTGATCCGATTCTGATAAAAATAAAAAATAAATAGCAGAAATAAATTGAAGAGAACAAGACTTTACTGTGTTTTGAATATAAATTACATGATTTCTGTCTTAGGTTTGACTAGAATGAGCTTCACTAGTATTTATAGTTGAATAATACTCTATTAAACTGGATGAAATCCACAATCCCATCATACATACATAGGTTATAGGCTAATACAACAGAAGGGATAGCCATCTCTTTATACTCGTAATAAGGGTGAAATAACACCTCATATTTGGAGGGTGTGCACAACATTAACATAGCTTTGCAACCATTTTAGCTAAATCCCTTGGTGTACAGATAAGCATAATATATGCACACAAATTCAAAGGTATCATCTTTTACAGTAGTACCAAAATAAGTTAAGTTCCTTGGAATATTGGACACACCCCACCGTCCATCACAATCCAAAAATTGGGTCATTAGCACCAAATAGACCAACGCCAAAGTGTCTGCTATTCAAGTCGTTGCCATCTAGACCAGAACCAAAGCGGTCAAGCCACTGTGTTGGGAGGCTCTGGGTTTCAGCCTCCTCCACAACCCACTCGGAGGACATATCTATGTCATCAAGTTGAAGGACATCGGTGTCTGCTGTGGCTTTTGAGCTCAGAGGCAACCTTGCCGCTAGCCTGAGATTGCAGTTTACATAAACCACATCATTCAACATGTCTTTTTCGACTTTGTTGCGCTTCTCCAAGTGGATTTGTTGAAACGCGGCCCAATCTCTCTCGGACATGAAACTGCCGCTGCATGCTTGACTTAGAATTCTGATGGCAACTCTCTGCAATGCTGGAGCGGCATCACCATATTGTTCCCACCAAATCCCTATAGTTTTTGTTATGTCGATACACAGTTATAACAGAGTGTAAGAAATGAAACTCTCTAGTCATCATTTGATGCACCAACGATCAAATTACTCTCATGAATTTGTTAAATGTTCAGTGCAAAATGTATCTTAATTCAAACAGCATCATGGGTTTGTTTGAACCCTGTAAAAGGCCAAGGAAAAAAAAGATTGCAGAAACAACAAAAAATCCAATATAATCTGAACTAGGTTGGAGTCTCCTCTTTCATTTCTTTTTCTTTCACCAAAACACTTCCATTTTTATTAAAAAACTATTTTTACTCCTACTAATTCTTACCCTACCTATCATATCATACCTTTTTACTAATAATCTACCCATCACATCAAGGGAAAAATTGGGAAGCCAACCCCAAATAACCCTTTCCTTATTTTGGCCCAAAGTCAAGATAGGACTGGTTTTGGTGAACGGAGGGAGCAGGATGTTTCTTTTGGGTGTCGGATGCAATAGCAAGGGAAGGGTAACGTGTCATTTTGATTTAGTCCATTGTTTACCCGAACCTAAAGCATTGTAAAAAATGACTCTTTTAGCTCCATCCGCAATGAACATAAGGAAAAGAAATATAATGCCAAAGAAATATACTTTCATGTGTCTGGTTTTCCCTCATAAAATGAATTACTTTAACTTTTTTCTCACACGTGTTTCTCAGCCGCCCCTTATCTACGAGATATAAATAAATAGAATTAACTAGACCAAAATTAAAAACCCATGTTTCTTTTGTTTTGAGCTAGGGCTCTCTACTTTCCACATAGGGGTAAGGTCTGTGTGCACTCATCTTTCCTAGACCCCACTATGTGGGATTTTAGTGGGTTTGTTGTTGTATTTCCTTCCAAATTTTTATTATTCACAAAATAATTTGGTTAAAGAATGACCAGCTATCTGATTTCCTAGGATTAGGGGTGGGCAAGGCACTAATAGCTGCTGAGTGCTAAAATGAATTCAAGTGCAACTTCACTAAATAAGCAGTACATACCAGGAGGGACAGAATCTATAGCTTCCTTTGCAAGATTATACCCAAACATCCCCAAAGCCCTTGTGAACAAACAGATTTGGTTGGTGATATCTCTTCTGAGCTCAGGTGTTGGAAGTAGCTTTTCAAGAACCCTAAAAAATTCTTCTTTTATAGATCCCAGAAATTTCACTTCTGTATTGTACTGAATGTTCGGGTTCAAGAACGCCGCAGCAGAGTGTAAGGGGGAGTGCAAATTATTCTGCCACTTCTTATCAACTATGTCTAAAAAAGTCTTGCACTTTATTTCATCCATGATATAGTATGTTCTTATAGACTCCTTTGCTCTGGTCATCAGCTCATATATAAACCCCACTGCTGCCTTCCCTCCACAAACTTCCCTCATCACTTTCAAGAACGGCTCAGATAGTGCCACACACTCTTCGACCCCCCTCCAGAAATCATTGTCTTCAAGAATGTCGAGGCAAGTTAAGCTCTGGGGTTTGTTTAGACAAATCGAATTAGTGGCAAACTCTGGGCTGTTGAACATGTGCTTCAACCTTGATCTCTGCTTCAGTACGGATTGTAAAGAGAGAAAATCGGAAACCGGTTTTGTGATTCCGGTTTTAACTATATCCTGCCCGGTGAAGTTCTTCATCAGATCAAGAACGGATGAATTGTTATATATAAATTTCGTGATCATCTGTGCTTGCAAGATGCACCGGTTAACCCAATCCACCTTTGAAAACTCGTCCAGTATATTGTTTAAACATTGGACAGCACAAGGGGAAACAAAGAGAGTCCCATAGCTCTGCAGTAAGTTGTTCACTATACCGGTGCAGTAAAGAGTGTTATCCAGAATAACCTGCACCACGTTTTCAGGGCCAAAATCTTGAATGACGGAATCAAACAATTCAGAAAGGCATTTTATGTTCTTGAAATATGAGGACGCATCGACTGATTTGTGAAAGAAGGTTCCAGAGGATGAAGAAACTGAGAAGTTAATCAAAGATCGTGATGACAATTTGTTGGTGTCCGTCCAGGTTTCTGCTATTATCGTGCAACCAGTCATGCCCCACTCTTTCTCTGCACCTTTAGATTGTGAACTTACTTCGGATTTGATCCTATCCAACCAAATTGTTCTCAGTGTTTCAGCAGAAGGGCCTATAAACCCACTACCGCCACATTTTCCTACCGACTCAACCATTTGCTGGTAAGATGAAGATCTGGCCACACTAAAGTCCAATTTATTTTCAAAGAAAAACAGAGCAATGCTTCTCTCAGCATTTTCTTCATTGTTAGGTTGTGTAACAAAGGGGGAAACTTTTTGGATAGGAACTGCAGCTGGGTGGCCCACACAAGCACCGGCAGCTTTGCTTGCACAAGTATTTGTGCAAAGTGTAATAAGGTCGGTGTGCTTGTGCTTATAAGGTTCAGAGATTCCCTTTGCGTCTTCCCTTGACGCAATTATTAACCTCACCTTATCACTAACATCATCCCTCACTTTGGTGCATGGATTTACACCTTTACTAGGGAGTCTTGACAAATGGTGCTTTAATCTACTAATTCCACCATTCAGAACTCTAAGGCAGAACTTACATCTAACCTTGTTTCCATCTACCTTCTCAGCATATTCCCAACAAGCATCTTTTTCTCGTACCACTGCTAGTACAAAAAAAAGGTCTGTCACAAATTTTTTTAATCCAGTTCCACGTGTAAGCATTCCATTTTCCCATTAGAATGGGACAAAAAGTTGTGTGCTAGTTTATTAGCAGATAAGAAACATGGAAAAGAATTTCAAAACACGGAACACAATAGAAGACATTAATAAGTCATTTATTCATTGTGTTGAAACATGACAACTCCAAATGTGTACTGGTAAGATATATAAAGGCAATCACTTACTGATTACAGAAGAGCCTCACGGTTCATTCCAAATAAAGCAAGAAATTGAAATTTCCAATGAGAAATCATGAAGTTGTAGCGTCAATCAGTGGAGGATAATCCTGCAAATAAAATGCAGAAATATTCAAAAAAGGACAGATGTAAAAAATGATGCAGATGGTCCACTAAATGAAGTAAGAACTGTATCACTGCTAGAAGTCCAACTGATTACAAAATAACACCAACACCACCACCCCACTCTCCCCTGAAAAATGATTATTATAGTAAAGGAAACCAAACAAAACATATCTGCTAGAATAATAATAACAACAACAACAACAACAATAACAAATTATTATAATTACTACTACTACTATTATTAGGGTGTTCTTAAATCCACCCCAAAAATGGCTATATCCACCCCCTTTCACATAAATTTGCTAAATCCACACCAATATCAAATTTATATTAATGGGAGAGGATTTAGCAAATATAAGTAAAAGGTGTGGATATAGCCATTTTGGGGTGGATTTAGCAACACCCTTATTATTATTATTATTATTATTATTATTATTATTATTATTATTATTATTATTATTATTATTATCACTCTATTTCATCCATATTGCTTTAACCAAATGGGCTGGCACTCTCTCTGTCACTCTCTCTCTCTCTCAAGGTGTAGGCATCCTATACTTTTAACTTTTAAATGAATAAGTTCTTACTGCCTATTCCACCAAAAAAAGTGCATATACTGTTTGCCACTTCATGAAAACTTCAGAGTATTTAGAGATTATACTTGGGCCGCCAATGAAATAATAAGGGGAAATGCCAGCCTCTTAATGAAGGCAAACACAGAATATTCAAAGAAACCATAAGCTGGTATTGCTCATGTGAAAGGAAGAGCTAATATGTGGGGACAAATTAGACAACATTTAGGATAGTTTGAGATAGGATGAGGGCTAAAAAGGGCAGCATGGAGCAAAAAGAAAATCCAAAGCCTTTTGAAGGTTAACTGAGAGGGGCACATGTATAACATGAAATTATGGAAAGACGATACTGAAATTTGTTCCACTTTCTGAACAGTTTATTTATGTTATCCAAGCATGTGGCTTGGAAGTCATTTCTGCCGCAACACAAGATAAAAGCAGCTATTTGTCTTATGTTGTGAGTGCAAAATAACTTTGGAATTCAAAGTCGACCTATTTAGGCATATAGCAAGGCCTCCCACACATTGTGTCACTGCATTTCTTTCCCAAGACATAGCACTCATCCTCATGTGTCCATGACTACTGGTAGGATCACCAATAATCACCACATGAGCAGACTCCGTTTTGAAAATGATGATAGCGTCTAGTATCTCTGACAACAATGAGACGTTTGGTGACCTTAGATATGAGCTTGACAGCCACATGGCAATCCCCACAGACGCGTATGTTCTTTGTGATTCGGATTGGTGTTCCGGCATCAGTGTTCAACATTGCAAAGGCAATTGCCAGTTTCTCACTATGAACAACTAAATGATATTCTTTGTCTTCCTCCTCAACATCATGCAGTGTGCCATCTGTAACTGGGACATAGCCAACGTCCTTTATCTTCCCTATTAATATGTCTAGCTCTTCATAAATCTTCCCTGATTGAGGATGACACCTGTCCCCGGCAAGAAATGTGTGTACTTGGTTATTGAGCTCCACATTGCTAACACCGGGAATTTTCTTGATACCTTTTTCATTCATCAACGTCCGAATTTTAGTCACATCTTGCCATCTTCTAGCAATTGCATAGATATTTGATAACAAGACATAATATCCAGACTGCCTAGGTGCCAACTTGAAAAGATTATCTGCAGCTATAATCCCTATATCCATGTCATTATATGTGCGACAAGCACTCAACAGAGAACCCCATATCCTCTCACCAGCATCCATCGGCATCTGTTTGATAAAAGAATACGCCTTATCTATCTGCCCAGCCCTTGCCCTCAAATCCACCATACAAGCATAATGTTCTAGCCTTGGAACAATCTTATACTCTTCTGTCATTAGATTGTAATAATATTCCCCCGCCTGTAACAGTCCAGCATGACTGCATGCTGACAGTATAGAAACGAAAGCAATGGAGTCAGGTTTGAGGCCAGATTCGAGCATCCTTGAAAATAAAGAAACTGCCTTTTGACCATGGCCACTCATACCGTAAGCATAGATCAAGGAAGTCCATGACACTACATCTCGAAACACCATGCCGTCAAAAAGTTCCCTAGCTTCGCGCAAACACCCACACCTTGCATACATATCAATTAAAGCATTTTCAAGTAATAAGTTAGGCTGAAGTCCACTCCTCTCAATCTTTTCATGAATCCTACGTCCTAACAGTACAGCAGAAAGGTCACCACAAGCAGGAAGAACAGTAGCAAAAGTTAATGCATCAGGCTCTATTGAAGAAGCTTCCAATCGTAAATATATTTCGATAGCCTCTTTAGGCATGGAATTCTTGACATATACAGCCATCATCACATTCCAAGGAACCAAGTCTTTCTTGTCCATATCCAAAAACATGCTCCTCACAAATGCAACATTTTCTATACACGTGTTGGTTACAGCAGGCAAAATGCTAGCCATTGTCCCAGCATCAGGCTTCAGACCCAACACGTTCATTTCCTTGCAAACTTCTAATGCATAATCAAACTTTCCATTTTGAGCATATCCCACTACCATTGAGTTCCAAGAAACAACATCCCTTCGAGGCATTTCATCAAGAACCCGCCGAGCCTCAGCCAAAAACCCACATTTCCCATACATGGCCACCAAACCGTTCCCTGTATATAAATATGAATCAAGACCATTCTTTATAACCGGGCCATGAATCTGCACCCCTAACCACACATTATCAGAAACTGAACAAGCTTTTAGAACAAGGAAGGGTATATCGATCAGGCTGAATGCCATCCACGTGCATCTTTTTGAACAACACAATAGCATCTCGATAAAACCGATTGTTGACATAGCTTCTGATCATCACATTGTACGCCACGACATTTTTAATGGGAATTTTGTCAAACAGCTGCCGTGCAGCACCAGTCTGGCCACAAGATGCATAAGCCCGCATTAATTTGATGCAGATGGACGTGTTGGGGCATAGGCCCTGATCTGAGATGATCCTGGAATGAATTTTTTCTAGTGTCTTGGCATCTGGAAACTTGTCTAATAATCTACTATACACACCTTCAGAGCGGAGAGAACTGTGTGTCATTCTATTTGAAGTTGTGAAACTGAGAGAAATGCGAACGAGGTCAGCCGAGGCAGCCTTCATGGGAGGGATCAAGTACTACGTTGGCATTAGTCTACTTCAAGAACTCAAAAAGGGTTTCTTGGCATGTAAAAATAGAAGGGAAACAAAGGATTTGCAAACAGAAAATCATACGCAGTATGTGTTCATATATCTGTTGCTTAGCCCCAATGTTCAAAATGAAATAACATCAAATTTCGCTCAATTTTATCAGAAATATATTTTCGATTTAAAAGTATTATCGCTTTACGGGGAGTGTTAAGATCGAAAATTCCGACTTTTGCTTCCGACCCTTGAGACTAGCTGCTAGAGCTTACAAGTAACAGAGAAAATTGAGACGAAATAAAATACGGAGTAAAGAAGAGCTTACATATACTGTGTGTGGGTAGAGCGAGCAAACTTGTCGATGAAGAGATGATATCAAAACGGGAGTTACAGGGTTTGCAGATCTGGTCGATTTATCGCGATATTTTGGAAATTCTAGCGGGAGAAATTGTTAATTGCTCGTTCACAAATTTTACAAATTTATTAATTGTGAACTTTATTAAAAAATAAAATAATTTTAAATAATTTTAAAATAAAAATTTAAACCATAAATAGAAAGCTCGTGAATTTTATTATTATTTTATTCGGGAGAATAGCATGGGTGCCCCTCATATATAGTTTACAAAAGAGGCACTAAAATCACATCTACTTTTAAAAGTTATTTGTAAAATCACTGGTTTTTAAATAGTGCACAGACTCCCTCTTACGTATTTTAGACATGAAATGACAGAGGATCGTGGCAGCAAGGCCACTCTACCGCTTACAACGCCCTCTTGTAAACCTCACGTTCCCTATTGTGTTTCGAAGGCCCGAGAACCATGCCTCCCTTGGTGCCTCGTTCGGCTAGTATCCCACCCACTAGCAACAAGAACGGACGTCAGAGCTAACGCAGTTCGAGTTGGCGGTGGGAATCGGTGTTGGGCATCGGCGCCTGGTCCTTCCACCTTGGTGGGTGTAATGGAAGAACCAAATGCCGGAAGGGAAGGAGCAAATGCAGGGCCGACACACCTAACATCGGCACAATGCATGTAAAATTCAAATAAATAAATAAATAAAAATCATATAAAAATGAATGGTAAAGAGGCATGTGGTGTACATTTGGGATACACCTTTGGTGTACCCCTTAGCATCTCCCATTAACTAGATAACTTGAGGGCATTACATGATTCTAGCCATACCAACCCGTTTACGGAGGTGCTTACGTGGCACTCCATCAAACTTCATCGAGCTATGTCATAACGCATGAGATAACCTGAGGACATTACATATGTAAAAGTTCATAGATTAAAGGACTTTTAAAATTCAATTATCTAAGATACTAATATAGGTGCTAATTTTGAAAATAAATACAAATTTCCCTACTGTCAAGTGTGGGTAATGTCAGCGCACACACACAAGCTTCATATGGCATTTTACCACTCTCTTGTAGTAATTACTCATATTATGACACTATAAATAAGTATATATGTGCTCTTTTAGAATATAAGGGATCACTCCTTTAGTTGTTTACTTGTTTGTTGTAGAAACACAAAAACATATTATTAAAATAAATGAGATTATATTTTTAATAGATAACGAATATATGAACAAATATCACATTGTAATAGAAGAAAGGCAATGGTAAATGTAGGAATTGAACTAGATGGGGTATCATTGGTTGGGGATTTGGGGGCAGCCTCCCTGAATTGTTTTTAAATATGGTACATGAAATGAAAAAAAAAGAATTATATTTCAAACATTTATTAAATGTAAAATATTTTTTAAAATGTAATGTGAATTCTTAGTTCATAAATTATTAATTATATGCATAAAATACATGTTACTAAAAAGATTAAACAAAAAAAATTAAATTTAACTTAATTAGACAGAATCATATTAATTTTGTTGCGAGTATATATAAATAAAATTAAAAAAAGTTTACCTTATTACAAAAAATTAGTAGGGGCCATGTGCCCCCAACTCCATTAAAGTGCATCCACAACTGAAGAAGGGTGAAGGAAGAATATATATATATATATATATATATATATATATATATATATATATATATATATATATATAGAATTTGGTTCAAATAAGAATGAGATCTAATGAAAGAAATAAGAATGAATAATAATCGTCCAATCTTGATCTGGCTGAATACTCCTTCCAATTTCTCGTAAGGGCAATTCAGAAATTTCCAGCCGCCTATCGATAATGCCTCGTCTATTCTTCTTCTCCCTAAAATCAGTCCACAATCTCCGTTCATGTTTTTTACCGTTTTCCATCTTCAGGCATGGGAGATTTAATGCTTGCACTCCGTGTTCATTCCAAGAATATCCGAGCATCCATCATCATTCGTATTGACGTTGTCAAAGAACATCTCAAATGGATTTTCAATATCAATAAGGTATGTTCAATCTTTATTTTCTGCTGCTCNAATTACTCCGTATAAACATTACCCAACATGATGCTGGATGCACTATGACACATATCACTGTTATAATGCATCACCAACTCACTCACAAATAAGAAGAAAGCAGAACATAATGCACTATTAAGCTTTCATGATGCATCTCCTACAAGGGTTAAGAACAAAATGCAGATGCACATATCACTATCAAAATGCATCACCAACTTCAAATAGTAGAGAGGGGAAAAGGAGTTAAGTGAATGATAATATCTTCAAATGCAAGAATCTTGTTGATCGAGATAATGAGGGTGTTCATGAATGTAATAGTGATACGCACCTAATTTCCAAATGTTGAAACTCAAGAAAATCGTGCACCTGTAGGCTACTTGTCGACAATCATCGCTTTCGGAATCGTCTCGATTAGGTCTTCTCTGTAGGCGGTGTGAATACAGCCGGCTAATTTAATTAGGATATCTTGAGAAAGGAAGACTTCTATTCATGATAATTAATCCTAGCAGTTTAGACGTGGGAAAGTGGTGCACCTATGTTCCTAATTTGCCCCTGTAAGAGAATATCTCCAATTTTGAATATACCCTATTTATTAGTTACCAAAATTAAATTGAATTCCATAGTTAAATCCAAGCCGTAAGTTTCATCAGATCTAATGGATGCTGTTTATTCTTATTTCTTTCGTAGTGACTCATTCTTATTGGAATCAACCCCTATATATATATATATATATATATATATATATATATATATATATATATATATATATATATATTAAACTCAACATCATCAAAGAGAAATACAATTTCTAGTTTGCAACTCTTGGTATTTTGATTGAAGAATTCAAGTAAATTGTTTTGCGTTTCATTAATCACAAACAAATATATATACACAAATACATAAGTGGGCCATGAAGTTAGGCCCAATAAGCTAAATTGACGTCTATACACAAGTATCCACTAACACTCCCTCTCAAATTGACGTATGAATATCACGAATGTCAAACTTACACAATATAAAATCAAAAACAGGTTTTGACAACGCTTTGGTAAAAATATGTGCAAGCTGATAACAGGTTGGAACATAATTCATGGACACCTCGTGTCGCTAAACGGATTCACAGACCATATGACAGTCCACATCAATATGCTTCATATCTTCGTGAAACACTAGATAAGCTGCAATATATAAAGTTGACTGTATGTCATAGTACAATCGTGCAAAACAAAGAATCAGCACTCCTGGAGCACTTAGAATATCGTGCATCCATTGGATTTTCACACAAGCATTTGCCATAACTTGATATCTTGGTCTTCCATGATAATGGAGAGGTACCACGCATTATAAAAATAAAAAATTACTGCTGGGTACTCTTGATTTTGTGATAAGTATGTCCCATTATTTTTAAAAAATAGTTTGAGGTACCTTAAAATATCAAAC